CGCCAGGCTAAGGATAACATCGCCCGTCCCGCAACCAACCTCGACGGAGAAGCTCCTGTCGTCGTCACGAAGCCAAGGAAGTGGGAGTCCAAAAAAAAGAAAACACACGACAACGTGAATGAACCGTATGGACAAGCGTGGGATCCACGCGGACGCACTCGCGGAGAAAACGATCCTCAGGGAACGTTCGACTGCTGAATACAGTACGGTGGCCGGGTGCGCCCCACATTGACCAATATCACCACCCCTGGCGTCGACTAAACAAGATCATCATCACACATGCGCCGGGAGACAGTTGTCGAAGGCGTTTCAGTGTTGGATCCGCAAACAAGCATAATGATCCGGAGAAAAAGGGTGTGAATGTTGCGAGGTAAAATTTGCGTTGCGAAAACTGTTTCGGAACGGGCAGAAATGCTTGGAAGTGTTGGTCTTAACCGGACTTGTGCACCAAGACCTCATACCCAGACAAAAAAAATGTAGAGCGGAACCATCCACATAAATCTGGGAGTGACTGGGAGCAAAAAACACCAAAAGTCCTAAACGTTTTGTAGCAAAACCAGACCTATAGTTGAAGGTTTGAGTGTGCGGCACAACGATGAATAGTCTGTGGTTGAGGTTGCGCTGGTTTGCAATTGTGATGGGAGAAGGGGCTACGGGCAATGCGCCCCTTCAATGCTGCGCGGGCGGGGACCACCCTATGGCATAACCTCGATGGGGACGGGCGCAACATCAAAACTAGGGTACATGCCGCGGTTTACATCCTTGCGGAATTGTGGCAGCTTGCTGCTGCTGCTGCTGCTGCTGCTGCTGCTGCTGCTGCTACTTGTCGCGCTGGTGTTGGACAGCATACCAGAACATGTCGTAAAATGCGGAGAGATGGCACCGGTCGGGGAGGTGGCATCGGTCGGGGACATGGCATCAGTCGGGGAGATGGTATACGTCGGAGAGATGGCATCGGTCGGAGAGATGGTATACGTCGGAGAGATGGCACCGCGGTGCGCAAATTAAACCAAGGCCGGCATAATTTCATTCAATTTCCGCATTGGGGGCGGTGAGATCGCACCCGGGGCGATCTCGCCCACCTCCAAATCTGCCGGACGGAGGTACATGTGCGTGCCTTTCACCTGTGGAGACGGTGTCAGCGGAGGGCCGCTCCTCTCCCTATGTGTGTACTGTCTCGGTTGACGCAGGGATGTCAGTTTGTTTGAAGTTGCTAATCGTGCACTCAACCAAGAACACAACACACAAGCCGCAACCTTACACACAATGATTTCCAAGAACTGCTACGTGCGTACTGGTGTTGTACAGGAAGAAGCGGGGAACAACTTGATACCGTGTGTGCCGGTTCCTCAGATGGAAACCACATCGTTTGTGTGTGTTCCTGTTCCGCCATACAGTCACAAAAATCGCGTTCAACCCTATGACTACTCGCGGCATGTAAAGCTGCTACGTACGTATATCAGCCTAAAGTCTTCCCGGTGTTCCCGGTGTTCTCCCAGCAACAACGAAATACACCGCACGCCTGCCTCCTTGGAGGTAAACTAATTACGTACAGGTCGGGGAGATGGCACCAGGGTGCTTGCATACAAACACCGCCGAGTACCAGTGGGCCAGCTGTGTCTATATCTAGATCATTGCGCATCGCACCGGTGGGAGAGATCGCACCGTACCTTCAAAAAGCTGAACGAAATTATTAAATTGCAGCTTTATAAGTACAATCAAAGAGAGAATACCCATTTGAGATACAGCAATACAAGATGTGTGAAAGTCTTGACAGTGAACGGGAAAAAAACCGCTGGTTACTGAGCTTATTTTGGGTCTATTTATGCCGATACACTGAATTTTTCTAGTCAAAAGCTATGCGCATAGGTATGCATAAAAAAATGATCAACAGACATCCCCTTTAGTACTCTATGAATACATACACTGAAAAGTGTAGTGACGGTCTCACCACGAAAAAATGGGGGACTGCTGTGGCCATAATAAATAGGGCGAAAACACAAAACACCGGCCCTGAGCAAGCTCGTCAAAGTCGGTCCGAGTGAACTCAAAAGAGTACCCGCGTAAGGTACCATGGTTGGGTGCGCCCCACACTGTTAATACTGCCCAATATTATCTGGCATCGATTGAGATCATTTATGTAAGAACATCCTCACACATGCGCCGGAAGACAGGTGTCGAACGCGTTTTCGTTGTCGGATCCGCAAACAAGCATTCCCATCCCGAGATAAACGGACATCATTGCAGGATACAGCGGTACGAGTTGGGAGCATTGTTTTGAAACGGACAAGAAACACCCTTCGAATCTAATTCCACATTGTAGAATTGTGTATGTAGGTGTCTTGTAAAGTACTTCGCAGTATGAGTGTGCATGTACCCTTTTGTCAGTACTTGGGCTGTGACTACGGCAGGCGTCCGCGCATGGACGCATGATGTTAGAAGGTGCTGAGCAGCATAGACCTGAATAATTTTTCTAAACATGCGCAAGACAACAAGTTAGGGATCCTGGACGTGCATAGTAACCTTTGCACCTTCGAACCCCATAGTTTTGGAGCAAGAGGTCGGTGACTGCGAGGGGTGCTGCAAACACCGTAAAACTAACCTCATATGTAGTGGACTGGTGGACTGGTGAGGAAACTCGCCCGTAGTCTAGAGAAGACTTATAGCTTGAGGAAGTTTCTCGGCAAAAAAGGCCCATCTTGCGCTGTCGCATCTCAAACATCTCAGGCACAGCTGGTGACTGGTGACACCCGCTCATCCCCAAACCAACAATGACACGCACACGGCAGCAGACCCGTCCCCACACGTCAGCCTGAGCAACACACGCCCGCCCGCAGAAAGAACTCCGACAGCAAATGAAAAATGCTGAATAAATAGTGCAGCAGCACGACGTTGCCATCGTCCCGGTAACGGTCAAGCAAAGCAGGCACATCATTGGGTGCACGTACCTGGCCGGGGGGCCGCAATAAATGGAGGTGGCACGACGTGTGTAGACCTGCGTGTCGTGGAAAAGCTGCCAGAAGTAGCTCCCCTCGTAGTACATGGAATCGTGCCACCTGGTGGGTCGGGGGTTGTCGACGAAAGCCAGAAGTACGGAGGAACAGCAGCAGCAGCAGCAGCAGCAGCAGCAACGAGGAGCGTTAGGCCTTTGCTCCATCGGCCGTTTTGTTTGGATGACGGAGAATGAGAAGGTGAAATTACTTGAAATTAGCATGGAAATAAAGTTTTGTGTATCTAAATCGAAAATAAAACGGCCCATGGAGCAAAGGCCTACGGAGCGTCTATTAATAGTAATTCGGCAAATGGTCCGGGGCCCGGGTGAAAGGGCTTCTGTTCGAATGAACACATGGTCGGCCTAGAGCGCTGCCAAAAGAGTAATCCATGGCTGTTGTTGTTGCGTTCTCGTCCCCGGCTTGGGCAGTTTTTTCGTTTGACTTCGATCGCGCGCAAGAAAAAAACCGCCCATCCTTGTGCCAAAAGTGCGAAACGGATCGTTTCATTTTGCACACTTGGCGCCCTTTCGTCCGCCTCCTCTCCGATCTTTGGCAGACAGCAAGCAGCACATGCCCTTCGGAGCAACTTACGTTCCTTGAAGATGCGGCCTGAGGGGCACAAGACCGACTGGACTTGCAGCCCATGCTTCACGATGATGAAGCGCTCACGAGCTAATGATGTGCGCTCTGTGGTTTTGCGGTATTGCTGCGCTTTTCTCGGGGGCCACAGACCATTCATTTGCCACCAACTACACACTCATGGGGCCCGGCCGGATACGCCGACATGGAATCTCAACGCAAACCTTGTCATGACACAACTCACCTCCATGGGAAGGGAAAAAAAACTGTTTTTGTTTCTACCCGGTGCCTGCTATACCGACATGAGCGGGGCACGCGCTTCATTTCACAGCAACCCACTGCCTTTCCGATGTTCTGCAGAGAAACAAGCCGCCACGCTAGACCCGACAACCGACTCTCCAACCGAGAGGAAGAAGCCGGTTTACGGGTAAATGGGCTGTTGCTGACCGAAGATCGGCGGTGGTCACAATATCAACCAAGGGTGGACCGAAAGGTGCAACATGTTACAGAATTACACAAGAAATGGGCAACAGAAGGGATTGCCCCCCGTGTATTGCCCGAAACCGGAGCCGAGGATCCATGTTCTAATATACCTTGACCCACCACAGGTACACCACAGGCAAGAGGTTTGTGGAAAATCTCCATTTTCCGTGTGATGGGGAGATGGTTCCAGACGTGGGGCGCGAAAATCTCCGCTGAAAAACAATTACGGCTCAAAAAAACACGAGAAGGAATGATTTTGTTGATGTTGCAAAATTTTGTTTGCCCAAGGGAAGAAAGAACGATTCAAACCACATATGTATGCGCACACCTCTCTCTCCCCACGCACGTACACACGTACTGCTGTACCATTTTAGTCCCAAGACAACGGAAGTCTTCCCAGCCAAGCCGCTCCAGCTTCCCCCCGTGTGACATCTGCCACGTTCTTCCTGTGCGAAGTGTGAGGCCTACGTAGAGGAACACAGCCAACTCTGCTCTCTCTCTCTCTCTCTCTCTCTCTCTCTCTCTCGCACCTCGCCGCGTCCATGAGGCTCCAGTCTCCCTTCCGGTCGAACGTGTGCCTGACCTCCGGCTTCTCCTTGGAGTGCCTGGGCAGCTTCGAGGCCTTGGCTTCCGGGAGAGGTCGGCCAACAGCACTGTTCACGGTTTTCATGATGCCACGTCTGTGGGGGGGAGTAGTTCGTTCGGCACGTGATTCGTGGTTCCGTGAGGTGATAGTGTTGCGTGTGTTTTTGTTCGACCTAGAATCGCCAGAAACGTCCGGCTGGTGTAGGCGGTGCATCCTCGCTCGGGCAATCTGGATTGCGAGCAAAAAAAAATAATGGCGATGACGTACCCTCCCCTCCCCGTGAATGCCATCTGTCCGGATGCAAAACGCTTCAGACGTACGTGAGCCCGCGACGTTCGGCGTCGGCAACATATAACAACTTTTACACATAGCACTGCACGGCACACACCACCACACAGATATACCACACCCTTCACCATGAAGTTTGGTATGAGGCGGGCGTCTTTGGTCATGCTGGCGATTGTCTTGCGGCGATCGGCGCAAGCTTTCACGGTCCCAAGCGTGATGACCATCAGACCTTCGCAGCAGGCGCAAGCGCAGCAACAACATCCGCCCGCTTCTGGACAGGTGGTTCTTTGCTGGAGTACAATCAATGTTCCTAATGCTTTGTAGGTTTATGGACTCATTGTATGTCCATGCAGAGCCAAGTGCAAAATGAACAGCATCTGTAAAAGACTGTATGCTACAGCGGTACGTAGTACCGAATACGCCGCAAGATGACACCCCCTTGGACCGATTTTCAAAGCTCGATTTATCAAGATGCAGGAAAGTCGCAGCGCCGAAAACGGCGGCGTTGAAGCCACGTCTGATCGAGAGCTCTCCGAAAATGTGTACGTGTATCGTTTTCTTTAGGCATCCTCTTCGTCGCGGAGAAGTCGAGCTTTGGAAATCGGTCCAGAAGGCGTGAAATCTTGTGTCGTATACGGTAGATGATGTGTAGGAAGCATCTTCGTACCGGTGTGGTTTGCAAATACATACAAGCAGCTTCGGCATACTGTAGATACTACAATGCCCGTGTGGTGTTGAAATGCTACAGCAGCCTAATAATAGCGACAGATTTGGGGGACAGTGTACTTTTGTTTTTCGAAGTACCACAGCAGCAGTCTTATTCGTGCCCTGCTCGGTCTGCACTACTCTTCGCGATGTACAGTAGTGAGGGGACGTCGCCGGTTGGATAGCGCCGGTGGCCTGTATGGCGTCTGAATTGCTGGGCACAGACCGAATCAGAAGTCATTCTGTACATTGAATAGTGCCGGTCCCCCTGAGTAGCGCCGGTCGACCGGTCGATGCACTCAACAAGCGCATCCCGGCATTATTTGAAAGCCCTCCATTGCTGTACTCTTTGAATTTTCTGAACGATGAGCGCTGACGGACTTGCTGTGTTCGTTGGATCGCTCTGGTTTTATTTAGTGTCTGATTCACAGATGGCTCCCCGTTAACACACACGCACTTGTAAGCTACCGCCGGTATGTAATGGCTAAATGACATAACAAGGTATATTGCCCTGCTCTGGAAGCGACCTAGCAGCTGGGTATGTACTCCTGCTGTGTTGCATTTGGCAGCATGAAACGAGCTCGGCTGATTGGTCAACGTCCACTTTCACGCTGCCGTCCCCTAGAAACCGCGGGGTTACCCTGCCACGCTACTTTTCTCCAAAAAGTACCACGAGTTCGGAACGTACCCTGACCTTTCAACGACCATTTCCTCCACAGGAACCCCTTTCCCCTTTCCCCTGCAACCATGAGATACCAAACACCCAACTCTTCTCGCTCGGCATCAACCATGGCAACTGGGCAGAAATCGGTCATCGATCAGGATGGATTGTCCGATTTTCCGTCCAGGTAAAACATGAACCACCAGATTTCCCCGCTCTCAACAATGGCTGGCACACACCAGCACAATTTTGTCGGGAAATCAGCCGATCCTTACCTATGTTAGATATACGCGAGACACAAGTCACGCTCAGAACGCGAGACCGATCCGGCATTGTTGAAATGTCGACGCACAAAAAACTCGCGTATTTGCGCGTGTGTGGCGGGGAACTCTCATGGCCGTCGAGGGGCGGAAGGATACACACACCCGCGTTGAGGGCACATCCTCCGGACCGCGACTCCTGTACCGTCGCCGTCGACCTGCCGAAGATGGGAACGTTGTGAGCTACAATCCGACCGTCCTCCGCCTCTGGGGTGGATATGTGAACACCGTCGCCATCCTCGACATGCGCGTGTTCGAGTATCTCCTGGGATACATGCGTTGTCAATTATTGAGAACGGGCGACGGTGTTCACATGTTGAGGCCTCTGGTGTGGACATGTGAACACCGTCGCCATCCTGGACAAAACGCGTATGTCGAGGATGGCGACGGTGTTCATATGTCCACCCCAATTGAGAACTTATCCCAGGAGATACTCGAAGATCCGCATATCGATGATGGCGACGGTGTTCACACGTCCACCCCAGAGGCGGAGTGGTCGGATTGTATCCTACAACGTTGCCATATTCGGCAGGTCGAGAGCGACGGTAATCTACAGGCGTCCGGATCCTCAACGCGGGTGTGTGTGTCCTTCCGCCCTTCCGCGGCCACGAGAGTTCCCCGCCACACATCCGCAAATACACACAATAAAAATTGCATCGGCAATTCACCGATGCCGGATTGGTCTCGCGTTCCAAGCGTGACTCGTATGTCGCATTCGTACCTCACGTACGTACGTGTCGGATGCTCTCCCGACGGAATTGTGCTGGCATGCCAGCAGTCATTTGTTTAGAGCGGGAAAAGTTGATGGTTGTGTTGTTTTGCGGGGGTGGAACATCCGTCGTGATCGAAATCTGCCCGATTCCCATGCGTTGATTTCGAGCGAGAAGAGTTGGTGTTTGGTATCTCAATGTGGGAAGGGAACAAGATTCCTGCGGAGAAAATGGTAGATGAAAAGTTCGCATTTCCTGTCTTGCCAGGGTACATTTCTGGAGAAAGTAGCCGTGGCAGGATATTCGCTTTTGAGGATACGGCGGGGTGAAAGTGGACGTCGATCAAAGTAGCCGAGCTCGTTTGGACATTGCGAGAGTATATACCCAGCTGAGTTTTTTTTACTGGGCTATTCGTTCAGCCATTATATACCGGTGGTGGGCTACAAAGTGTGTGTGTGCTCGCGGGGAGCGACCATGATTAAAACCAGCGCGGTCCAAAAGAGAAGGCATGCCCGCCTGCGCTCGTAGTTCCGAAATAATGACAAGGGTGAACAGTGTCGTGAAACGGAGCAAGGACTAGCAGGTCGCGCTCTGGACACGCACACGTGTAGAGGGTTCCATGTGCCGCTGTAGGTCAGTGTTGTGTAGCAGGGTGTGGGTGGGTGTGGGTGTTGTGTGCCTCTCTCTCCTCTGTTCTACTCCTCCGCTACGGCTGTATCTTTTTCTGCGGCACGAAACGTATTTTCGCACCGAATGGGGCGCGCACACGCATGTCTTTCATCTTTCTCCTCGCTTGTCAGCTGCCCGGGTGTGCAGCGGTCGGAGAGGTCAGCAGCCTCTAGTGTGACTGCTGTCTTTCGCTCGATCCATCTCTCGCGTGAAACACAACCAACCCCCATGCACGCACCTCTGTTGTCGCACCCGTCCATGTTCAGGTATTCGCCGCGACGGACGTTGTTCCTGCTTCCAAAGGGCAGGCGCCGCGGCCACGAGGGCAGTTGGAAAGGGCACTGCAAGGGGCGTCGTTCGCGGCAGCAACAGGGTTTGCGGGAGCGTCCAGTGTGCTAGCAGAGTACATTGATCCGGACGATGTGAGATGCTACTTTCTAATCGCGTAGAGACAACAGGGCGATCGATTGCAATGGTCCTTCTTATTTCGTCCACTGTAACAGCCGTCAACTTGTCAGAGAGTTCAGCAGTTATTGGAATTCTAAGCTGCGGAGAGTAGGTTGGAGCGCGCAAGTATTTCGTTGTCCCTCCACCCAGCAGGTCTGCATCGCAATTCATAGGTTAGCAAATCCTCTGGAGCCAGAGTTATTTTTCTAGCTCCGAGGAGCAAGTGCTCACGCCCGCGAGAAGCTTGTCGCCTCCCGCTCAAGCCTGTATTGCTTGTCGGCGAAGTACGACCGCAAGATTGGACACCTAGTGCGGCGACTTGTGCCTGACTACCAATCGCTTCGATGCATGCGTACCCAAAACGTGCATGTGTGACAGGTCGGTGAAGTCGTCAGTAGCGACCTTCCGCCGATGTGGGTGCCGCTCGCAGTCGGCTTCGTTCTCACGCTAGGCATCGGCCTGCTTCAGGGCAGCCTGGGGGACGTTATGAACGACGAGGCCAAGCTCGGGGCATTGTCAGGCGCGAGAGCTGCCAAGCAAAGTGCCCGCGACCGAGACATGTTCAAGAAGAAAGGCCCAAAATAGTCGGCTATGAGCCAACATTGTGGGGAAAGAGATAGGTAGATAAACTGGCATGGTTCAAATGGGGGCATGGGGGCCGTGTCTGTAAACCCCCTTGTAGATTTTGGATGTGTTTGAGACTCTACTGTAGTGCGTTGTTGAGATTTGTCTCGGCGCGACAATGGCTGTGGCCGGCGTGATTTGTCCAGGCTCTCCAGAGAGTGGACGCAGGCGAAATTCGGTCGGGGGGTGTTTTTTGTGCCTATTGAAAGTTGAGGAAGAGCTGTATACATCGATCCTTTTTGCGGAAGCCAGGTAACCAGGACTTTTCTCCCTTTGTACAGACATTCAACACCGGGAAGAGATCTGGAAAGCTGACGGATAGATTTCCTTCGGTCCGGGGGTTTTGCCAAGAACGGTCCACGAAATGCAGCAAACATCCGGGATGGATCTTTAATATAGGAAAGGGTGTTGATGAAAGCACACCTAGCTTACACATTGTAAGTGCCTTCGGCCGCACCCTTGGCATTTCTCGCCGCATATGTATCACGAGAGAAAGCGCCCCCCCCCGTTGGCAGACCGTTAAACTACCGGGATAGGGTTGGCAGACTGTGACTCAGTGGAGATGGGGTTTCTCATTCGTGTTGGTATATCTTTCACCCCAAAGCACACAACCGCACGCAGCACCATTTTTTTGCATCATTTTCGGTCTTTTTTCTGCGTTTGGTTGCTACCATCGTGGAGGGACGCCGGCGGGTGCACTTGTTGAGATCTTCAGTCGATTGGTACCATGAATTTCTGTACTTTTGGTACGCATGTAATATTCTGCACTCCCACACAGCAATATAACAGTATCCCGACCGCTCGCAGCCAAAACGTGGCCGGGCGGTATCAATCGGCGCCGCCCGTGCACGCACGTCGATATCGACCAGCGCGTGTAACTTTCATCCGGATTTTAGGGGGCCGCAAGACAAGCAGCAGGTGGCACGGCGGTGGAATCAACCCACGTAGCCGACGCACATGATCTCACCGCACGGCAGCTAGAGTGCGAGAACAAATCTGCGCCAATGGTGGCGTTTTGCGAGGGGTCCCCCAAACCTCGTGTCGTGAGAGGGCCCTTCGACGACAAACTTCCACACTCCAACAGCAAGACCTTCGTTCTCAACATACCAGATCATACCAGCACACACCAAGCCTTCCAACGTTGCCTGACCGTATTGACCTTTATCACCTACGCTCTGATCCTTAAACACTTCGGCTCTGTACAAACATTTACAAGGAACCACCGTAGAACTACTGATTTCAAACGCTTTTAACCACACCACTTGATGTCGTACATTTCAGATCGCCTTGATATCCATCAAGGACTCCTCGTGGAGATGTGACAATCCTTCGTGTCGCTCGCGGTCATCGAATGCCGCAGTCGTGGCTGCTCGTGTGATCAGCATGTTGTGCTTTTCAATGGTGAAGACCGCCGTCGAGCCTAGCGACGCCACTGTTGCCAGCACCATGATGCCAACGCTCCCGCCCTGGGCACCAAGCACACAACCGTTGGTCGATTCAAGAAACGACGGCACTTAACGTTCACATGGACGACGATGCGTGTGATCTATGCATAAAAAACAACGGTAAATGCCGTCTTGATTGGAACACAAAGAGTTCGTCCACACGTTCTCAACAACGACGAGCATCATTCTGCTGCATTCGCTCTCACATTGTGGACGACATCGCCCGCTAGCCAGCTACATGCTGCGGTTGTCACTGCGGCTGCCCCCACGCTGAGCAGCAGAAGGTAGACCAGTCGTCGGAGGGGCTGGGTCCCTTCCCCTGCCGAGTAGGCTGCAAGTACGCCGAGAGAGGACCCCATAACCTGCAATCATCGTCACATGGACAAGGTAGGGCTAGAACCTAAGCTAAAATAGTCAACGGTTGGAACTTGGCGGGATTGATTGGGTACAACTGCAGGAGTGGACACATCCCACACATTACACGACAGCGTGTCGGGCAGAGTTGGTCTCATACTGAGTACCACACGACGGTGAGTACCTGCCCATGATACGGAAACAGTAAAAGAAAGGTACAAGAACGCATGTGAAGGGTAACGACGAAGAGGCTAAGGAGTCAAAATCACAGTCAACATGTGGAAAACAACATTGGGCGCGTTGCTGAGCAAGAAGACTGCACATGGTGAAGCTTGCTTGGTTCGCTGGGAAAACACGGGCGGTGCTCGAGTTATCAATGGAGACTCACCACGCCAGGAGCAGCCGGCAACCCGTGCTCTCTCTCCCCGCCGTGGATCGGCGTGAGAAGAGCAGCAGACACAAATCCAAACATCGTACCCAGCAGGGTTCCCATCGCCTGTGCAAGGGAGCAGGTATTGATGATCAGCAAGACTCGGTGCCGTAGTAGCCTCAAAAACACTACAAGCAAGGTCCTCCCTGTTACAAGGTGTCGCACAGTAGGGAAGGCCGTTCCATAGTTGCTGCATATATATCTCGGCATATCTTGGTGTGTACGGTAGATTGCATAAAAAACCACACCTCCCTGGACTGAACTTCAAACCTCAAGCGTGGCACGAGGAGGATGCCGACATCAAAATGACACGGCTGTATGTACGCGTTCGGAAAGCTCTCGACGAGACAGTTCCAACGCCACCATTTCCGGCACCGCCACTGTTTTTCCTGCCGAGTAATCGAGTTTTCAAATCGGTCCAGGGGGTTCATATCTTATGCAACCTACGATAGACTGCTGTACACGGGGCGGTGCGAGGCACTTTCAAGGAGTACTTGTGAAGGGAGGTACTGCTGTAGATTGGACTACTACAGTTGTACACACAAGCGACGCGCTGCAAAGCTCGTTGTTAGTAAACTTGACCGACTTCTTACGTCGCGAGGGAAGGGATTGCTGTACCCTTCTCGCGATAAAAATATCTCAGGCATGAACCGCAGGAGGGGGTCCAACCCCCCCCTCCTATGTGACCCCGGTTGGGTCGTCTAGCTGGTAGAAGTGGAGGATAGGGGCCAGAGGGGCAAACGACAGAGTCCAATGATGGGAGAAAAATAAAACAACAAAAACCAGCTTCCTACAACTACTGTTTTGCAAATGTCAATGTGCTGAATTGCCTTGCGTGTGGCGCACTGGGTCTATGCACATGATATAAAAGTACGAGACACTAAACACCTGCATGCCTGCCCAGCATGTTGGTTGAAGTAGGTCATCCATTTTCCCAGCCGTGCTGCCCAGTCTGCAAGAGGATCTTGGCGGCTCGGAGGAGAGATGTGGTCTTACTGTCCTATTGGTGGGTTCGTGCGCTCCGTTGGTTCCTCAGAGGTTCCTCCGCGTTTTCAATCCCACTCCCGCACTCCCGCTTCCCACTTCTGCGCTTCTCTACACATTAGCCCTCTAGGCTGGGTCTAGACTCTAGACTTTGTTGAAGTAGGCATGCAAGGGTCACAGGTGTTTCCTTCCAGGGAGGATGGTGTGCTGAGCAGGCTGGTAGGCCAGGTGTTATCTCGCGCGGTGCGTGCGGCAGTGGGTGCATCCACGAGAGCGTGCTCCCTCTGCCCTCGGTGGCCGCAGCCCCGGCGTGTCCCCGGCCATCCCGGCTGAGGGATGCCTCCAATATCCATTCGGAGATCGTGGAGACCCACCGACTTTCCCTCTTGTCTGCTGAGCTGTCGAGGAGAGGGTGCACTCTCGGCGGGATGGTTGGCGGCTTGCACCACCCATGGTGGCATGACTTGAAAGCTCTGACCCGACTACACGTTCTGCGGAGACACGGAACCAAAACTATTCAAAGATTCCTAGTGACACTATGGATCTTGACCGTTGGATCACCTGACGTTGGGTCGAGGCATTTGATTGCGGTCCAGGGCGCCCAAGCCGCAAGCAGCGCGTCTGAAAACCTGAGCACGAGCTGTGATGGCCGTCAGCAGCCCCGACCCGGTGCGATTTACTCCGCGGTTGGACACCTCAACTATGGCGTTGGCTTGGATCTGAGGGCAGATATCAGCATTCCTGGGGAGTGCGAGGTCAATCTTCCCATCGATGTGAGTTATGATACAACAGTAGAAGTAGTCGTTCGCATAATGCGAGATATCTTTGGGTGTCTTCACACGCGGGAATTCAATGGACACGTTATGCATGGCGATATCGTCCCACCACATACTTGCAAACTGCCAAAACAGAGGGGACAACGGAGTGCTGTGCGTAAATGTCACCCATGTGCCAACCTGACATGCGTAGGGTCGCACTTGTTTCCTCGCCACGCCGTCGTACGATACAGGCATACGCAATATTTTACGTTAAAGAACAGTAGTGGGCTGTCGTACAGAGAGATTGCCGAACGTGGCACCTTTTTACGTTGCCCGAGACTTGGTCCTTTTTCTGAGGGGATGTTTCCAACAGCGACTAAAGGTTCTAGTACATGTATTGTAATGGAGCAACTATGTAGCTCCATAACAGTAGGGTGCATTGTTGCTATGGTCAATCTCTTGAATGTACAGTAATGGCCCCCCAGCAACGCCGGTACATGCCCGGCGAAACGACCGACGCTGTTCAGAGGGACCGGAGCTATCATTCAAAGAATGGCATGGTGATTCAGTCTCTATCACCGGCGCAATGGGGCCACCGGCGTTGTTCAACCGGTGTTGTTGAGGGTCCACCACTGTATTTTGTTGTAACCTGGCTTTCTTAACTCTCAAGCTGGTGCGTTCTGTCACGATGGCAGTCACGGCACCTGTAAATCAGAGCCTCTAACAATAGACTGCAAGCAGTAGGCTGCACACAGGACAAAAGACACTATTTTTTTGGTCAGACAAAATGCTCAGACAAGCAGAGGGTCAGATTTTTTGGAATCTGTAGCCGGTAGCGGTATTATTTGTCTGAGGCTGCCCCACTTTTCACCCACGGCTCAGACAAAAACCTCTCACCAACCTCATTTTATCTGAGCCGTGGGTTCCTGTTCAAAAGGCTCAGATGTTCGGTATTTGAGCAGCAACAGAGTAGCAATAACAACAACAGATGGCATCGCAGGGTACAGACTCGTCCAAGCCTCACGTCACTACCGCTGGACAGACAGACCTGCTCCCCCTCCGATGCGGGCGGTGTGCGTCTATGTGTGTGTAGATATATGGTGATCGCTGTGGAAGGAGCCGAGGGGATGAGGGTGGGATGAGACATGGTTCACCAGCAGCCTAACAAAGAAGAGCGACTTTCTTGTCTACAACCAGTTCAGGAGAATACCCATACCATGAGCTGTAGGCCACTCGAACTGCTGGGAGGTGGCCCAANCTTTCTTGTCTACAACCAGTTCAGGAGAATACCCATACCATGAGCTGTAGGCCACTCGAACTGCTGGGAGGTGGCCCAAAAGTTGCCTTGTGTTACTCTCTATCGGTGCCATCTCCTCTACACAGCTGTTGCAGTTTGGAATGCAGCTTAAAAAATCTCTGTATGAGGGGTGATTGTTCTAGGTTGAAGCTGCTGGTGCTGCTGCTGCTTGCTGCAGCAGCAGCTATTTAGCTAGCTACTGCTGCTAACCGCCGCCTCTACCTTTCGGTTGATTGAAGCAGGACGCCACCTGAGCGGCTGAGAGTTTGCTTGCTAGAAGCCTTGACAGGGTGCTTCTCTGCGGTAATAACACCCCCGCTAGATGCTCCTGGCACCTTGGATGATAGATGGCACCACCCAACCAAGCAAACCTACTTGCTTGCTTGGCTTGGGGAGAAGAAGAGCGTGGGGAACGGCGCGCGCGAGTCTTTCGACCAATCAGCGGTGGGCCGTTGCCACGTCATGCCGAAAAAAATCTGAGCCTCTTTTCGGATCCTTTTCATGCCAATTTTTGTCTGGGCAATTTTGTCTTTGTCTGGGCAAAACCACACATTTTTCCGAAACTCCCCAATGATGCTGTTGTAGTGAATATCCTATTGATCCAGTGGACGTTTATGTACAGGTGCCCGTTCGGGAGCTTGGAATCGACGCTGCCCTCGCACTTCCAATAGTTGAGGTTACGTCTTCAGAGGCGGACGGGACTTACGGCGTGGGAAGCAAAATAACCATCGACGTAAGGTGAGAGATATCCACTGACTCTGCCACAGAAAATCTCCCGGGGATACGTAGGTCTGGTACTATGGTTCCACCAAGAACACTAGGGTCACATCGCCGGGGAGCAACACTTTAGACAAACCGATTCAGGTACAATTCAATCACCATTGTGGACGGCATCAGGCCTCTACTACTGTGCCGATCAGGCGAAAAGGGAGAGAGGCAGGTGTTACGCAAACAATAGCGCCGGGGCACCGTGCCGACGCATACAACCGACGAACACCAGCGGCGGTGAGGCAATTCGTTCATGTTGCAGCCCTGAGATTCGTATCGATGCATGCAGGGCGTCGAAGTTCTTTGTTCGACGTGTTTCCCGTTGCCAGACCTTTGCCCAGCTTGGAAGAAGCGAACCTCTACCTTGATCTTCTGCAACAAGGGAAAAAACGGTTTGCTGCAATGACACCTAAACATCGACTTTGTACTGCTCAGCGACTGACTACACGTGCAGATCGATCGATCCGTTCGTTTCGTGTGTCTTGTGGTAGTTCGGTCACACCGTCATGGAAGTCGCATGACTCAAAGGAACACCTATCTTCACCCATGACAAAATCAATACATCAACAAACAGATTCTCGAGTGCCGTCCATGTGGAAGGCTCGCCGACCCTGAGACTGAGGACTGGTTGCCACGATGACTCATGCAGCACGCCGGAGGTTCAGAGTTTCATCTGCAGGCGAGTTTGAGACCGTAGTTCAAGCCAAGGAAGAGCGCAAGCGCTCAGCGGTAGACACACCGCCCAGGCTTTTCTTGTGTAGGTGGTTATTTGAGTCGTTCATGACATCTGAGCACGGGACAACTGTGGCTTGAAAAGGCGTCATAGGCAACGAACCGATTGTCCATACCTCACCTCCACGCACGCTCAGTCCCCATTTCGTGCAACCCTTCAGCATTGCTGGAAGCAATTCGAAACCTTCCCCTCTGTAAGCGTATCGTATCTGCGAACGGCGTGTTTGTATCGCTCGTTCTATCTCCGTCCGTGTACACCTTGTACGTTTCTGCAACAAGGGCTTCGAGGGGAGAATTTGCCATTAGCCTCAACGGAGAGACCATGCCGAACATCGATGCGGGCGTTAGCGAGGCAAGTCTACTCTTGGGTACTTTGCAGCCACCATAGCCGCAGCATCCTTGGGTGAGTACAGGCCTCTAGCCTGTTCGCATCTGCTTTGGTGAGAGCCTGTTTGCATCCGCATCGGATAGAAAAAAAAGTTCAGCTGAAAGCAACTGCTGGTGGAGTCACTGCGGACGACATGGCCATGACCATACTTGCATCATTCCGCAGTCATTTTCCTACCGATGGAAGTTGGCTCATTCATGATATTCGTTTTCTCATGTCATCTCATCTGCTCTTCCGGTTTCTCGAATGCATCCGGCTGCGTGTGCTTTTCAAACGGTTGTTGCGGGTAAACTGGCACACACAGGAGGACTTGAGGCGAACCTTGCAAGACTTTTCCGGAATCGAGCGAACAACCGTGGAATATAGTACTTGGATGGCGGGCACTACCACGGCCGAAGACCCCGGCAGAGCAAGCACCGCCGGCTTGATGTTAGGCAGCAGGGGCGCCTGTTCAGAAAACGGCACGACAGTGACCGTCACCTTCGACAGCATTTCGATGCAGGTGGGTGAAACGGATGAGAATGAGCAACACCCTCGGCTTGCGGTCATTTTTCGGCGGAGGTTTGTCTGACAACGAACCGTGATGTAGCATTTCCATGGACCAGTTCCTGAACTAATCTATTGGAACAATGTAGGCAGAGAAAGTAGATACTGGTTGTAGCTGCATAGGTCGTATACCCGCCTGCTTGCGACAGAAGACGAGTTTAGATTACAGCAGGGTTCAGGGAAGGTGATTGATGAACAGTGGGAGACAGAGAAGCAGGAAATATCTTGCTGCGAAAAAGTGCTGCTTCCACTTCACCGGTACCTACTTGCAACGCTACCCGGTGAGGTGTGTATATTTAAGGGGGTTCGATACTCTGCCTTGGCCTTGCTCCCACGTGCTGCTTGTAGACGACACGATGCACCGTTCGGCGATTTCGCCCGTTCATTAGATGCCCACGGCTTCCGGGAGGTGAGTGCAACCCGGTGTGTTTGTGCGAAACACAACGAACGGGCGAGATTAAAGAAGGGCTCAGGATATTTGAGGAGTTGCCTTCCCAAGGCTGTGTTCCCGCTGCTTTCCATGTTTTGTTCCCTCTCCCGTGCATGCCGCTAGGGAGATGATGGTAACTTGCCGCTGCTGGAGCTTGACTACTTGAACTCTCCCGTGAACAGCTATACCGGAATGAGTTGGGGCAATCGCCATCGCCTGTGGTACGGCTGGCTCAACGAGGAAGACGAGGAGCCAGAACGAGCGGAAAAGGTCGGTGCTTAAAAACTAACTCGTGTACCACTACTTCATGGCGAGCGAAGGCGGTTGTCGCCTGAGCTGTCTACTCCATGTTAGG